GGGCTCTCCTACATGTGTGAAGGCCAAAGGAAAATCACGCCTGACCCGTTTTCAGAAAAGCTCGGGGCAGGCTGAGCCGCAGTACAGGCCAGGTTGTTCAGATACCAGTAGGTCGCAGTCACTTCGATAAGATATCGAAAGGCAGAGCGTACAGGCCCGATTGAGATCCCAACCTCTGAGTGCAGATAGAGCTCGGGCAGGCAGGCACGCACCTCTGTCTCGGCAGTACTGGGAGGCTGCACGTCTGTGCGAAGAGAGCAGCCAGCGCCCGCCAGTCATCAGCCAGCTGGTGGCTGGGCGAGGGTCAGCGCCACCCATAACTGCGCCAGACGCCAGTGAGAGGAAGGCGGCGCAAGGAAGGTCGGTCCCAGGAGGAAGAGAAAGCCGTGGGGCGGAGGAGGACGACGACGACTCTTGACGAGGGACGAACCTGGTGCTCAGCGAGAAGAGCTCCAGCGCGATGCAGTCTGCATTCAGGCATCTTCGACGCGAGCAGCCTTTTACTCTTCAGCCATGTCTAGAGTACGTGGTCACAGAAGCTGGTCGTGAGACCGAGAGAAAGCCACGAGTTACAGCTGTTGTTTAGCTTGCTGAGAGGAGAGAGAGAGGAGGGGAGAGAGGAGTTTTTTTTTTCATCATCACGACATTTCAACACTGTCAGTGTTTGTACCAGTGCGATGATTGCTTTGTCGTTTCTGCTGATCGCCTTGTCGCCACACGCATGCTGGTCACGATAGTTCATTGTGCTTGTGAAAATTGACTTGCTCCACTGCGGTTTCACTGCATGTGGATCTTCAAAGGAAAAAATGTGGGGACTGTCACAGACATTTGGGACAATTGCAGAGTCTCAAAAAAAAATGCACTGTAAATTTTTACAAAATTGAGTTGCTAATACTTGCTATCCAGTGCGGTTCCATTGCATTTGGGACTCTGGAACAGTCCCAAATGCAGGTGGTCCAGACTGCGGCAGACGTTTGGGACTCTGTAACAGCGCACTGGAAAACGCAACAGACACTGGGCCTCGCTGCACTACTCTTGACATGCACAGAAGACAAAAATCATGGCGGTGCATCTTCCCATATTCTAGCGGAAGATTCACTCTCGTTTTGCACATTTCGAGAGTAGTGCAGCGACGCCCACTCTCGTGGAAAATTGTCTGGTCGGCGGAGCCAAAACATCCACTTGACTTATACCTCCAACAGGCCATCCCTGCCACACAATTAGAAGACTACGAAAAAAAAATCCTCAGAAATGACATGGTGCATATGAAAAAAAAAAAAAAAAAAAAAGTTAAAAAAATGCATGGTTCGTATGCAGGATCAGTGGTATAAAGACTCCTCTGAATTTCCCCACCTGGATCCTTTTGGAAAAAAGAAGAGTACTCTACTGAGTCTCCGACCCACTGTGCCTGCAGAGTTCCTGCTGGGAAAGACAGGGACCAGCTTTTTCAATGGGCCCACAGATGCAGCCTGCTGGTCCGACTTGATTGCTACCGTTTTTGACTAAAGCTGTCGCTCCACTACTCACCAAATGTGCAAAATGAGAATGGAATCAACTATCACGATCGTCAATCGAAAAAAAAGATTTGAATCTCCAGTTAGAACACTGACACATACATCGCCATATTTCTTGTCTTTTGTGCATGTGGAGAGTGGTGCAGCCAGGGACCTAACAGCGGTCTGTGTTTTGGAACACCGGGATGACTTCTACCCTGTTTGCTTGGCCATCCCCCCAAAGCACTTGGGGGCAGTATTGCATACCCCGATGGTCGGCGCCCTTGACTGGTTGGCTGGTCGGCACCTACTGGTCGGGGATCGTGGGCACCCCAGAAAAAAAAAGGAAAAAAAAAAGTCCTTTTTTTTGTTTTCGTTTTTGAGGTCCAGAACCGCAAATAACCCCACCGACACCCCCATACCAGCCCCCAATACCCCCNTCTCTCTCTCTCTCTCTCTCTCTCTCTCTCTCTCTCTCTCTCTCTCTCAGCTGCTACTCCGGACTACCCTGCAAATTATAAGGAGAACAATGCCAGGCTTGCTTTTGAACCGACCCCAAATGCTGGTCTCACTGTCTGACCCACTTGACAAGCACTCTCTCTCTCTCTCTCTCTCTCTCTCTCTCTCTCTCTCTCTCTCTCTCTCTCTCTCTCTCTCCTGTCTCTTATACACATCTAGATGTGTCCTATACCCCCCCATAACCCCCCTATTCCCCAAACCCCCATCCCCAAAAGTTTCTCAGAGGATTTGGGCTGTACTCGGCAAGCGCAGTACAGCCCCCAACTCAGATTTGAAAAACAATCAGTGGATGTCTGTTTTCTGGCTGGTCGGCACACCGCCGACCGGTCAGCTGCAAAACGGTCAGCGGTCGGGGTTGGCGGTAGGCAGGTATGCAACCCTGCTTTTGGGGGCGGGAAAATCAATTGCCGGTGTAGTTTTTCGGAAAAAAAAAAAAAAAAAAAAAAGACTCAAAAAGATAAATTGTGTGTGACTGCTCACTTGCTTATCAGATTACATTTTTGTGTGTGCAAGGAAATAAGCAATGAAGACAGCGATAAATCAGATTGCGACATGTCACAGAGGACCAGATGTAATTGAGCCTTGATGATGAAAGCAGAAATCAAAGCGAAATGCACAACACCAAATAGGAACAAGCTATACGGCAAAGTCTCTTGATAAGGAACGCTCTTCCACCACCTCGAATCATCAATACAAGGACAATGTAGTCTTCCTGACGGCGTCCTGAACGCCCATACTACTTCCTAGCTCCTACTCATCAACACTATCTGCATGCAAATGATGATCCACATCTCGATCACCCAATACCGTTTGAAGACTCTGGCCAAACAGCCTGCCTTCGTCAAAACCAGGTACGCGTCTCGTTCTCACCACGTCCCTTCTCTCTTCCTTCCCCGAGGATCACTGCACTTCCCACCATCTGGCCATGGCTCGTCCAGCCTGGCTATGGCTGCCGCCCACCACCTCCTTCCTCGCTGTCACCCCAGCATCTTCCGCCATGGCCACAGCGTCCAGCTACCCCTCCAGCAGCATTGCCAATTTGCCAATTTGCCACAATGCCCGGATATGTCTGGCTAGCTGGCCAGCCTTCTCCTTGTGCTGGCTGGCGAGGCTGGAGAGAGGGCCACGAGCAGGCTGGGGCTCTGTCCCAGTACCCTGGGCCCTGGGCCCTTCTGGATGACTGTGTAGGCCCAGCGTCTGTAACCAACTCGTGGGCTGGGCCTACTGGCTGGTCACAAAGGCTGCACGCTGCACACTGTACGCGGCAGGCTGCATGCTGTACGTCGCACGCGGCACGCTTCACACTGTACGCGGCAGGCTGCATGCTGTACCTGGCACGCGGCATGCCGCACACTGCACACGCTGGTTACCCACCCGGTGCCCTTTCCTGAGGCCGGCCTTCACTTATGGCGGCTTGCATTTGCCTGGCCCGGCTTCATTTAGAAGCGGGCAGGGCTTTTTTCTGCAAGACCGAGGGCCTAATTCCTCACACATATATGCCACGAGCCTACGGCAGAAACAGGTGGTCCTTCAGATAACAATATACCCACTTTAGGTTACATCACATATACCCCAATAGGTTGTGGCAGAGACTAAGAGAAGCATATTACCCACCTTAGGTTGTCATACACAATGGGGGTAAGTAGGGCTATAGAGCGATGGCTGGCTTTTTGGGTGCTTGTTGCTTGTCGGGGGCCACAAACTATCTCTCGGTATAGGATCAGGCCGCACTGCCTGGCCCCACCGTAGACAGAGGTGAACAATGTTAAGGGACGCCGCTTCCCTCTCTTTTTTTTCTTTTTTGCTTTTCTGAAGTTTTTTCCAATTAAGTTGAATTAACACCAAAATTAGTAAATTACTAAATATCGGAAAAAACATCCATCTTCTAACTCGATACTACTCTATAGTGATTCCAGTTATGGGTGGACGCATGCCGTACATGTTTCTCGTAGTACAGCAGGAAATAAACCATGGTAACTGATTGAGCATTATCTATTGCAACTGATAGAGTAGGACATCAAGGTATAATTTAATTACCATGGTAAATGATTGAGCATTATCCATTTCAACTGATAAGAGCAGGACATCAAGGTATAATTTAATTACCATGGTAAATGATTGAGCATTATCCATTGCAACTGATAAGAGCAGGACATCAAGGTATAATTGAATTACCATGGTAACTGAATGAGCATTATCCATTGCAAGCCTGTTCGCTAATCAGTTTGCCTTTCTGAATTTTGCTGAACAATCAGGGAAGATGCATTTCCAAAGAGTCCAAAGACTCCAAACATAAAAAAAGGAGGCAAACAAAACCTCGCAAGGAAATGCCAGCCCAAGGTGCAAACACAGTCTAGATGCTTATTTCATTCCAAGTCCTAAACGCGCACCAGGATGACGGGCTCACCCTTTGTCTTTTCTCTTCCTCCCAGAGGGACCACCCTGCTGTGCCTTCTCCCCCCTGCTCCCCAACAAAAAAACATGCATCAACAAAAAACAACACAATGCCCATAATGTCTGGGCACTGCAACTGGCAACCTGTTGGGGCCTTTCCTACCCCCTCTGCCCCCCTTC